TACCATTGGCAACTGGGTCAAGGTCTACGAAAAACTGGCGGGTACGAACGAGCGACCACCGCAGCCGACAAGAAGTTCACCACCCCACAGCGACAGTGGCTCTTCGAGTTCTACGACCGCCACCCAGTGGCATATCTCGATGAAGCTCAAAGTACCTTCAAGCGTGTACACCGCATCATGTGTTCGCTGAGGGGTTGCCACCATGGATGTATCGTCGTTCGTGGCGAGCCACTTCTGTCGGCAAAATTTGAATTGCACCTTCTCTCAAACACATCATAAAACCTCTCTACATTTATATATTATCATATTACAGAGGTTTGGATTGGTTCTGAAATCACCCTCCAGATTGATTGAACCAATCGAGCATGGAAAATTCGACTAGAACTCACAATACTGTAGTACGAGTTTTCAGAAGTGCAGAGCTGCTTCCATTTCCCCACAGCGACTCCAAAATATGTCTCGTAAATGATAACTCTACGTTATATTGACGAGTACTGTCAAAATTGATATTTCCCGTTTAACGTTAAGAATACCGGTCGCATGAATTCGGGAAGCGATTTTATACAGTAGCGTTAACTGACAAAGAACATTCATTCCGAGATTCCATTCGGATACACCTGACTCAGATTCTAACTAGACCAAAGTAGGAAGGGTACAGAGAAGGCGTAATAACGTTTAGGATTCACACACATACCGGTACCTAGAAGAAGATCTATTGCGTCTGTGGGGTACAGGGTTTCTACTGTAAGTCTTTCGTAGGTGTGGTGAGGGTAACATGGACTACATTAGAGAGATTTTGCAAACCATCCGTTCACTATCCCTTCACTGAAATATCATGTGTTTGACAAAACCCGAAGTGTAACTCTAAGAAATTATAAAAACCTTACCAGAAATAATGAATCACGACTGGTTCAGGCAAATTGTAGGGATTGCAATCCCTGGTCCCTACACCGAAGTAATCGTCATGACCACCGCATCGAAACGGCGCTTCACCGAAGAAGAAGATGTCATGCTTCTTCGGGAAGTCAACGCTCGCATGCCATTTCGTGCCCGGCGTGGTGCTGTGATGGACGCATGGGCTGAAGTTGCTGCTGCACTGTTGTCCCACGAAGACTTCGACCGCTCTGTCTTTGACGCGAAACGGGCACACAATCGTTTCACTCTGCTCCTCGAAGGCCACCGCGGTGACAACCGCGAATCCATGCGAGCTTCTGGGGTTGACGAAGAGTACAGCGAGAAGATGCAGCTGTTGGACGAGCTGTTGTCGACGTACGACGACAACAAGGCTGAAAAGCGTGGTCGTCTTGAAGAGGCGCAGCGAGAGGCCGACCGCATCGAATCTCTCGGCAAGACGGTTCGTGAGGAAGCACTACAGTCACTGGGCAAAAGAAGATTAGCTCAAGACGGCGAAGGAAGCAGTGGCGGTGGGGGCGGCAAGTTGTTCAAGATTATGTCGATGATACAGGACGACAACAAGGCTAAGCTCGAAATTCGCAAATTGCAGTACGAAAAAGATCTGGAAGAGCGCCAAAAAGATCGCGATGTCTTAATTGAACAGTCACGCATGCAACATGAAGCAATGATGAATATTCTAGCTGCTTTAAACAAAACAAAATAGTGACATTTATCTTTTTCTTGTTTTACACTAACGCAACTTCTAGCGTGTCTAAGTACTCTTCTAATGATGGTGGTTGCATGTCAAAGTAGTTAGAAATTTGATTTCCACCAAAATGACAGCAATGACAATTCGTCAGCAACATTGCAACACAAACAACCTTTGCCACAGGTGAAAGTCGAATCTTAGATAAATCCTTGTAAGTAATGAATGCCCACAAAGACTTCATGATCTTAAAATTCCACTCAACAGACTGGCGGACACGACTTATCCACTTATTAAATTCTTTTTGCACACTAGAAAGTCCATTTCCTTTGAAGCCCGACAACAAAAATGTAGAAATTCCGTATGCAGGATCACCATATATGAATTTGTTCAGAAATAAATCACGATGCTGTAAAAAGAATTCCAACAAACCACTGTGGCGCAGCATTGTCGTGTCATGTTTTCGCCCTTCCACCGGACCAAAGAAGTGGATGCAAACGCCGTCCGGCGCAGTAACAGCCTGGTAGTTCAAACAATGCAGCCGCTTGTGTCCACTGTAAACTTGCCGCTGCAAGTTGTCGCCGCTTCCACTTGACGAAATTCGACTCACGGCAACCTTCGTCCCATCGATGAAGCCAAACACGGAATCGAGCGGAGCCCCCCTTTTTTTAATGGCCGCACAGTATTGATCCAGTTGCTTGCGTACGAGTCGCAGGTTGAAGTAGAGCAGGTCGTGCCACCGGTCGTAGATGTCGTTGACCACAAACAGAAATATGTCGCAAAGCACTGCGTCTGACCGCCCAAACGTCTTGGCCATTTGGTAGAAGCGGGTTGGAAATGCGAGGCGTGAGAGCATGATGCACATGGCCTCATCACGGCACACACGATTGCGGGAGTTTGTAATGACAACCGATGGGAGACCAAGGAGCAAGCCAAGCTTTTGCACGCCATCGACGTCGAACCGAAAGTCCATGATCGAGTTGGCATCAGTGCAGGCCGTGAGGTGGAAACGGACAGCTGGGATCAATGGGCGTTCGATGTACGTGCATGCCAATAATGTGGCCACAAGTCGTCGTTGCTTTCGGGTTTTGGCGAGAACAAGCAACGCAGATACGTCATCGAGCGAGAGTACCATGGATGTAGTGTGAATTGCACGAATACGGTTGTAGCAGTCGGTGATAATTTATCCGGACACTGAGTGAAGTGACTGGTGCAAAATAATTGTTAAATCCGTCTGTTCAGTATCCCTTAAATCGGAGTTTGCCAAATTGTAGTGAAGTGATAGTGAAGGGATTGGTTGCAAAATCTCTCTATTGTAAGGTGTAATTCCACTTGCTCAAGCATAAACATATAACCAACGTTAACGTTAGCGGTACAATAATTAGCAGCATTCACCTCGTGATGGATCCCATTCCTGGGCTTACAGTTAGCAATCCTGATTAGACGTAACTGCCGAAATGTCGGAAAATGTCGAACTATGGATATGAGAAGCCTTTCGTTAGCAAAAATACGACCATATAGAAGCTATCAAATTCCAAAACCAACACAATAGGTTTATACTACGTAGTATTAGTATGAGCTAACGTTACTGTACCTGTACTTTTTGGAAAGGGCTGTAGTCACTGTCCAAATGTAGTCTTGACAGCTTTGAAGGCGCATGGGGTATTTGATGTTTACAGTTTGAATTACAGGGTCACGTAGTGCAAGGAAAATATATGTAAGGGGATCCATATTTACTTAAAGTGATGATAAAAAGTACTGAAGGTAGGTTCTACCTACACTAGTACGACAGCATGGTGCCCTTTTAGGCTTGGGTTGTAACGCATAACGAGCATGTTCGTCACCACGAAACGTTCCTCGTTGACTAAATATATCTACTGACATCAGACAGTCCGATGGCAGCAGCTTCGACCGTGGGGATGGTGCCACTGCTGGTCAGCTGGCTTTCTTGTTTATACATGCCTGTGGCACTGGGCTTATACTGTTTCCACCGCAACCATCCGTGCATCAAGTACCGCCAGCCGAGACGAATGGCGGTCATCGCCGGCTCCCTTGGCGCGTGTGCGCTGTCGCTGCCCGTTCTCGTCTTTACGGACGCGCACTGCCATCTGTACTCGCTCTGGTTCTCCTGTAGCATCTGCGCTTTGTACGTACTTTTTCTTAAACCATGGAGATCTCACACCTTGTTGTCAGGGTGTCGTACCTGCTCATGCAGTGCTCGGTGGTGATTTCATTCCAGATCACCGAACTCCTCGCCCAGCCCAAACTCGCCACCGCCGAGTCCGTGCACCGCACCATGCAAAGGCGGTGGTTCCTCCATCGAAAAGTCCAAAGCGCCGTGTTCGTCCTCACGAATGCGTTCGTGCTCGGGCCTATCTACTACCCGTTCGCAGCCCACTTTGACGTGCTGGTTACCCACACCCGAGGGGCTTGCTTTGACGAGACTTCGTGGGACATTCTCCTGGCCGAGATAGGGCTCATCGGGGCGCTGTCGTTCGCGTTAGCCATCCACGTCAGCCGAGTTGTCGACAACTTTGGCCTCCGCCGTGCGTTTTTAGCGACTTCCAAAGCCGGTATTCTTTGCATGGCACTCCAGTTTCTGCTGTCCATCGGCACGTACAAGTTGCAGTGGACTTGGCTCGATGACTTTTACGTGCTCGACTCGACAGCGTCGTTGCCTTTCCACGCGTTTTTCTACTTTAACCTGCTGCACCCCCTCAAGACGGTGCTGCGGCCGTCGACGTTTCACCAGCGCGTGATGGTGCTCTCCGACCCATTTTCCCAACACCGAGCGCACTCGACCTCCCACTTTAAAGCGTTCCTGCTTCATCCGGATGGTTTCCGCGCCTTCCTCGAGTTCTGCCGGCTCGAACTTCGGCTAGAACTACTCCTAGCATGGCAAATGCTCACGCAATTCGAAGCCGCGCCGACCTCCCGCGCGGCCATCCACGTGTTCGAAACGTGTTTCGAACCCCACTGCATGTACGCCACGGACATCGGGGCGAATTGGCGACCCCACTTTGCGCCCCACCGACTGACGTGGACGCACCACACGACAGTATTCCTGTCTCCGTCCCTGTTCTGCCACGTCACGGCCGCGCTCCTCCAGCGCATGTACGACGTCCAGTTCCCGCGCTTCCTGCAGCACCCCAGGGGCGTCCTCGCATGGCACGAGTTCCTCGACCGCAAACGGGCTGTGGAGAAACTCGACCAAGTTCTCACGATGGTCAACCGCCAGGGGTCGTCTACGTCGTCGTTTCAGATGAAGCTGCACCTGCCATTGCACTTTAATGGAGGGTAAAGTAGATCTAGTGTATGTACTAGTACCTCGTGGTAGTAGGAGACTCTTGAAAGGTACGACGAATGCGGCGCTGAATGCTGAATTGCATTCCCTTGATGGACATTTCAGAGATGTGACGATTTCAATGGGCTATGTGTGTGGACATTTGAGAAATGTGACCATTCGAAGAGGTTGCAGCTCTCGAGCTCTTGACAGCTGCGTTGGCCGAGTACATATTAAGGAGATTTCGCAATCGTCGGATACCCAGAAACCCCGAAATCAGCTCAGCGGCAGCGACTGATTGGAGGAATAAGTCGGACGGTCAATGGCCATTCCGACCATCAATGGTTGGTTCTGGAGTGAAACCGTTTTCCTGGTACTACTACGTAGTACGTAGTACTCCCAAGTAAACGGTTTCGGTGTAACCGAAAGTCGTTCGACTACAGATTAATACTATTATTGATATAATACATCATGTTAACGTTATATTGTGGATTCGGTATGAATTTACAGACCCTGTCCAATCGAATCTCGCCACCGAATCGAATCACGAATGACGCTATTGGCTAATCCATTTTTCAGTGGATTTGATTGGCTCGAAAGGACAAGTATATTCAACTAATCAGACTTCCAGCGTGATTCAATATTGATTCGACAATCCAAAATTCGCCTGGTTTATCGAATCAATATGACAAACCAGGCGAATTTTGGAAGTTTATAGCGAATTTACAATACTACGTACATACTACTAGTACGTCGTAACATGATGTACCACGGGTATACATACTGTACGTACTGGTATATAACTACAGCACGAAGAATGCCAATTGCACCGTTCGCCAACAACGTTAAGTGAAGGTCCACGTCCAAACGGCATTGGATTGGCTAAAAATATGTTTTATTCAGCGAATCCGAGAGTGGCTTTGAATTCTGACGATTTGATTGGGTCGTTTCTGTAAACGAGTTCCATTGGTCGTCCCCCAGTGATCACTTGGTTGGTTTGCATGTTCAGTAGTGAAAAAGACGTCTTCCGGTCCAGTTTTCCTTAAACAAGGTGGGTTGGTGCAGAATGGTACATGACGAGTCTCATGGGATGATGTCGGACGTAGATGCGTCACGTTGCTGCTTTCCTTTTGCTCGTCTTGGGCGGTAACACCACCCCTTCCGCCGCCGATGTCGAGAAGGTGATCACGTCCGTGGGCGGCGAAGTCGACTCGGAACAGTTGGAAGCTCTCTTGAAGGAAGTCGAAGGCAAGGACATCTACGAAGTCATTGCCGCCGGCCAAGCCAAGCTCGCCACGGTCTCCGTCGGAGGCGGTGCCTCGGCTGGTGCTGCCGCCGCCTCGTCGGGCGGTGCCGCGGCCCCTGTCAAGGAAGAGAAGGAAGAAGAAGAAGAAGCCGACCTCGGAGGTGGCATGGACATGTTCGGTGGCTCGTCCGACTATTAAATGTGCTTCTTTCCGTTGCTGCAGTAACGAATGACCGCCTGTGTCGAGTAACGAGTAATACGATGTGACGCACAGATATGAGCTTGTCTAGACATGAAGATCGGTGCACTGGACCAGCGACATCTTGTCGTCTTCAGCAGGGGCTATGTATTCGTGGATCCAAAGCGATGGCAGGATGGGACTCCTCCAGTTTCTCCACTTAATGGAATGGATTGCTTTGCCGGAGGTCTGGCTCACTACAGTAAGGGTGAACTGATCGACTGTCCGGCATTCCAATGTCCGATGAATCACGTCTGTCTGTCAGTGCAGAGATTGTACATACGGGTGCCAACACCATGGAACCCCCCACACGGTGACCTCCATCGTGGAATAACGTGTAGCACCAACCCAACGGAGGAACATGAACTTGAGAGCCCTGAATCTCCGCTATTGGGCTGAAGCCCGCAATTGCACTCACCATCCGTCCAAACATTAGCGTTGGACCTCCATATCCATAGCCAGCTGCGCTCGGACGCATCATGCGTGTGCCGCGGCAGCAGAACATTTTGCTTTCGATGATGAGAAACAGCCAGCAATATGATTTGAGGTAGGGATAGGTCGGTTTATCCGGATGGACGCCTTATCCGGTCCTTCATATTGGCTGTTGTGTAAATCTTCTGCCGAAGTGAGGCCACGAAGCAGCTAGCGCCATGTTCGAGAAGACGCTGGCAGACCTGGTCAAGGGCATCCGCTCCTGCAAGGGCGATGTGTCCGTGTACATCTCCCAGAGCATGCAAGAGATCAAGACCGAGCTCAAGTCCACCGACCCCTTCATCAAGTCGCAGGCCATTCGCAAGCTCACGTATCTCAACATGCAGGGGTACGACATGAGCTGGGCCGCATTCCACACGGTGGAAGTCATGTCGTACGAGCGCTTTGCGCACAAGCGCATCGGGTATCTGGCGGCGAGCCAGTCCTTCACCCAAAACACGGACGTCGTGCTTCTCTGCACCAACTTGTTCAAGAAGGAGTTTGGGAGCGTCAACGAGTACGAGGTCGGGCTCGCGTTGAACGCGATGGCCAACATCTGCACGCTGGACTTGGCACGGGACCTTCTCGGCGACATCCTGAGCCTCATGAATAGCCACAAGCCGTACGTGCGCAAGAAGGCGACGCTGATCCTGTACAAGCTGTTCGTGCGGTACCCCCAGGGACTTCGCTTGAGCTTTGACCGTCTCAAGGAGCGCATGGAGGAGCCGGACGTGTCGGTCGTGTCGTGCTCCGTGAACGTGATCTGCGAGCTCGCGAACAAGAAGCCCAAGAACTACATCGGCCTCGCGCCGCAGTTCTTTCGACTGCTCACCACGAGCTCCAACAACTGGATGCTCATCAAGGTATCCATCGTCGTCTATACTTCCTTCTCTCATGGAAGGTGTCGTAGGTGGTGAAACTCATGAGCTCCCTCGTCCCCGAAGAGCCGCGGTTGGCGAGAAAGTTGCTCGATCCCCTAGCAACGATCATCCAGAACACCGGGGCCAAGTCGCTTCTGTACGAATGCATCAGCACCGTCACCACGGCGTTGCTTTACACCCAAAAGAGCGACGGCACCCAGCCGCGGAACGTCCCCGCCATCGTCAAGCTCTGCAACGACCACTTGCGTCGGCACATTGAAGACCCTGACCAAAACCTCCGGTATCTTATATTTGTATAAACACCCAAATGTGCTGAAACTTTGCCAAATAATCTATCAATTCTTTTTGTCCTGACTTTTGCATGTCCAATATCACACTAGTTCGAATTGGTCGTGAATTTGATTGGCTACTTGATTCGTGATCTGGGTTTTGATCGATTGTTTTGGTGATTCTGCTCATTCGATTGAGCACTCCCCCAACATTTGGCTGACTTTTGTGCCAAATCTATCGATATTCGTTGGACTGCATCTTGCACACACACTAATTGAAGTCACACACTAATTCGATGTTGAAGATGGTTGTTTTCTGATTGGGTGAATCGTTATTCTGGTGTATATTTCTAGAATAGAAATACCAGATCGAATATCGTCTAAGTAGGACGACTATGTAGGTACTTGGGTCTCGTGGGTCTGAGTAACCTCATGCACAGCCATCCGCATGTGATCAGCGACCACCAGCATGCCATTCTCGAGTGTTTGTCCGTGGAGGACACGACCATCCGGTTGCGGGCCCTCGAATTGCTGGTGGGGATGGTCAATCCGGATAACGCATCCGGCATCATCGAGGAGCTGATGCGGCACACGGTCGTGGCGGACGGCGTGTACCGGCAGGACCTCATGGCCAAGATCCTGCTCGTGTGTTCGGTGCAAAAGTACCAAAATGTGTCGGATTTTGACTGGTATTTGGGCATTTTGGTGCAATTGGCCACCGTGCCAGGCGAAAATGCCAAAAATGCCGCGGAAATCACGCGCCAGCTCGTGGATCTGGCCGTGCGCGTCAAAGGCATCCGCGCCATGCTGGTCCAGAAAATGATCGAATTCCTTCTCGATGAAGACGCAGTCACGGGACCCGGGGCCAAAACCACGTGCCAAGGTAAGACATCGAGTTGCTATGGATTTAAAATGAGTTTCAAATGGATTTAAAATGCGGCGTTGTAGTGTTGTACGCGGCGGGATGGATCATTGGCGAGTTTATCTTGGAGTACGTGGAAGACGAAGACGACGACGACGACGACGACGACGGACGTCTCGACGATGTCATGAACGCCGCCGACCACATGCTGCTGCCCCGCACCACGTCGCTGCCTGGTACGTATGTTGTGTGTTTTTTGTCGAAAAAAACATTTATTGGGTCGAAAAAACATGTTTTCGGCGAAAAAAACATTTGTTTGGTCGGAAAAAACATTTGTTTGGTCGGAAAAAACATTTGTTGGGTCGAAAACAACATTTGTTGGGTCGAAAAAAACATCTTTTTTACTTCTTTTTGTGTTTGGGAGTAGCGCCGGTGCAGGCCGTGTACATGCAGGCGCTGCTGAAGCTGCTCATGGTGATGGTGGACAAGGCGGACGAAGCCACGGTCGACAGCCTAGCGCAGATGATTGTGGAGCGACTGCCGGCGTTCGTGCAGGTGTTTGAAACGTGTTTGAAACGGGTTTGAAACGCGTTTTTTATACCTAGAGCGAACACATTGAAGTGCAAGAACGAGCGTGCGGCGTGCAGGAAATCGTGCTGGGGCTGGGCCTGGGCTTGAACGCGTTGAGTGCGGACGACCGCGCGAACCGCGTGTTTGATTCCCAGCCGTTGAGGTTTGAAACACTATTTGAAACGTTTTAAACACTATTTCAAATGTTTTAAACGTCTGACGCTGTTTCGAACGCAGTGCCGACACCCGCGTGGAAGTGCTCACGAGCTTCTTTGCCGAACCGTTGGCCCCCGTTGGAGCCAAAGCGCAAGGCAAAGTGCCGTTGCCGCCTGGTTTGAAATGCATTTTAAACCATTGGAATCGTTTTTTTATTATTTTTGACAGGTTTGGATTTGGACGAGCCGTTTGACCGGGATGTGGCGGCGTTTTTGGCCGCCGGCGGTGATTTGGATGTGCTGGACGAGGTCATTTATATTGATTTCATTTATATTTGTCGTTTAAATGAAGATGAAAGTAGGATGCCGAAGTGTCGTTTGTGAACCAGCCCCACGCGTCGACGTCATTGGGCGGCCCCGATGGCTCGTACGTGAACTTGAATGGTACGTTAAACGAGTTTTCAATATTATTATCTATATATATATATTATATATATATATTGTAGACGACCGATCCAGCAGCGAAAGCGAGGACGACGCGAAGCTCGAATTGACGTCGAAAGTGGACAAGTCGAATGCGTTTTACATCAAATCGAGTGATAACACCCCCCAAAACAACGTAAGAATGGTGGATATATATATATTATGGCTACTATATGTATCATATATATATATGTATGTAGATGGTGGGCAATTTGTTGCAAGCGCTGGAAAAGCAAAAGAAGAAGAAAAAGGCGAAAAAGTCGAAAAAGATTGTGATTTTGGACGACGAGGTATGTATAAAATATGGAAAATTGTTTGATTTGGGGTATAAATGATATATTGAATGTTAGCCGGACAATGGATCGAGCGACGATTCGCGCAGGAGATCGACGAAGAAGAAGGCGGCGCAGTACGACGACCTGAGTCAAGTGGACCTGACGACTCCACTGGGGGACGACGAGGTCATTCCGGACTCTCACTGGCACCACCGCCAAGTGCGGGCGGACGAAGCCAAGGACAAGTCGAAGAAGAAGAAGAAGAACAAGACGATGGAAGTGGAAGTTGTTGAGAAGAAGAAGAAGAAGGAGAAGGCCGTGTTGAGTGTGGAGGAACCGACTGCTAAAGCCAAGAAGACCAAGAAGGATGGACAGAAGAAGAAGAAGCCCAAGAAGCAGCAGCCCAACGACGACGACCAAGTGCTGCTCTTGTTTTAACAACCCAGAACGTCGGCTTTCCTGTGAAATGTTATGAAACCCCTTCCCTGTGAAAAGTTATAACAACCCCGAAACCCCGCAATGGTATCCGATGACACAGTCCTTTCCTGTGAAACGTTATGAACCCCGAAACCCCTTCCCTGTGAAAAGTTATAACAACAGAACCCCGAAACCCCGCAATGGTATCCGATACACAGTCCCTGTAAAATTTCATGAACCCCGCAACCCCTTCTAACCTGTAAACATTTATAATATCCGATTACACAGGTGACGGTTTCACCTGTGGGATTTGGACAACGGGGGTTTCACTGGGCTTGCATTTTTTTTCGTTGCAGCGGGTTGCCATGCCGGTTGTCAAGCCGTCGACTGGGCGGAATGCACATGGCTCTAGGGATCGGTTCATTCCGTCGCGCGGTGCCATGAACGCGGATCTGTGCCAGTACATGCTCGCGCCGGACGCCACGGCACCCCACCCACCGTCCAAAGGCCACGGACCGACGCACCGCGACCTGCTCTTCGCCACCCTCGTCGCCAGCGACGACCGCCGCATGCTGCGCTTTCAAAGTAGGCCACTGTTGCCTCCATCCATTGCGTTATCTGCATGTATTCCTCGTGTGGGTGGGGCAGCCACCTCGTTGAGACGACACATCCCACTGATCCCCACGCGCATCTTGGACGCACCCAACCTTCGCGACGATTACTACTTGAATCTGCTCGCCTGGAGCAATAGTAACCTCCTCGCCATAGCTCTCGACACAGTTGTGTACGTGTACAACGTCGACTCTGGCGGCGTCACGGCCGTTCGCGCCATCCAAGGCGGCCGAGAGTACGTCACGTCGGTGGCGTGGCTGAGCGATCGGCTGCTGGCGGTGGGCACGTCCAACGCCCACATCCAGCTGTGGGACACCGGCGCTGCAAAGTGTACGCGGACACTTGTTCACTCCCACCACGAACGCATCGGATCGCTCGCGTGGAATCCATCCATGCAAGTGCTGTCGTCAGGATCGAGAGATGCCAAGGTACAGTAGGTTGGCTGCTCCTGTACGTACAATTATGTCAAGTGTACCGTACATAGATTATCCAGCACGACATCAAGGCACCGAACGCCGTGGTGGCCATGTTATACGGCCACACCCAGGAAATTTGCGGGTTATCGTGGTCACCTGACGGAAAAACTTTGGCGTCAGGCGGCAACGACAACCGGTAGTCATGCATGAAATATCAGCAAATATATATCCAAGTCTGGGGTATACGTATAGATTGAGCCTGTGGGATGGCATGAGTACAACGCCAAGGCTGACTCTGTCGCAACACACGGCAGCCGTCAAAGCCCTGGCATGGTGTCCTTGGGAGAGACATCTGCTGGCGTCAGGTGGAGGCACCGCCGACAGATGCATCAAGATATGGCAAGCCACCACGGGCGCCATGGAGCACAGCATTCACACTGGGTCGCAGGTATCCTCTATTGACCCTATCAACCAACCCCGAAACCCCGGAACCCCGAACCACCACTTAAACCAGCGATAGGTGTGTGGACTAGTGTGGTCCCCCATCCAGAAAGAGCTGTTGTCGTCCCACGGGTACTCTCAGAACGAGCTGTGTCTGTGGGCTTATCCCCGCATGAACCGGATCAAAGAATTCACAGGCCATACTGCCCGCGTGCTGCACATGGCGCTGTCGCCCGATGGCGCGTCGGTCGTGTCGGCGGCGGCGGACGAAACGCTCCGGTTTTGGAGCGTATTTGGCCCCCCCTCGGCGTCAACCCGCCCCCCCCGCTTTCACCTCACGTCGTCGCTGTGCGGAGTTCGCTGACGACTTGGTCAGACTATTTATAGTAGAAAGGGGAGAATCAGGAAAGACATCAAGGGCAATACATACACGCAGGTTTTCGTGTGTGGACAGACAGCATGGGGATGTTAGGTTAGCTGTCTTTGTCATAGCTCCATGTAGGTAGCGAATTGTAGAGTGAGACAGGTTGGAAGTAGTTTCATCATCAAATTAACGTTAGACTAACTATCTAAGGAAGTGAGGCAGGTTGGAGTTTACGTCAACATGAGGTGATCATTCCAACCCCTTTGCCCATACCCCGACACCCCATTTAGATTATCAGAAACCCCGAAACCCCGAAACCCATTTAGATTTCCAGCAAACAGAATAGAAACCCTGAAACCTGTATTGCAATCTGAGAAACCTCACGTTATTCTCCCAAACCCCCGAAACCCCACGTAAGTCTATGAGGTTTTGACTGTACTGTCTCGAAGACTCTACAGTTGGAAAGATGGAGGTTTGGTGCTTAGTGGTGGGAGGGACACGCGATAGATTTAGCGTGAGCATCGATGCGACCGATCTAGTCGATCAATTGAAGTGAGCACCGTACCAATGGGCGTCCTCCTGGACACCAGTGCCGTTTGGGGGGGTTCCACGAACGTTGAACTGTATGTGCGACGCGAGATGAAAGTCGCTGATTGGCCCAAAATTTGCCACTACACTGTACAATTTCGAGAGATTGGATGCAATGCGAGAGGCGGCACTTGGGTGGAGCAACTACGTAATATGGCTTCGTCAAACAAGTTTCGTTGTTTGTCAGTCTACAGTATGGTTACATCCGAATGCATTTTGAATTTGAACTGATTAGGGTTAAATTAAAAATTATATTTGGACAAAAAGGTCCGTTTCCTTGAGCAAATTAATCAATACGAGTATACTATTGTGAATTCGCTATAAACTTCCGAAATTCGCGTGGTTTGCTGGATCAATATTGAATCATGCTGGATTTCTGATTGGTTGAATGTAAGAGCCAATCAAATCCACTCAAAATTGGATTAGCCAATAGCGTCAATTCATGACTCGATTCGGTGGCGAGATTCAATTCGAAGGGGTCTGGAAATCTTACGGAATTTACACTTTATTGACCCGTTAACGTAGATTTCCATCTTAAGAGACATGGGACAATTTAAGGGACATCGGATTCAGCCAATCAAACTTGTATAGAAATACCTCTTTAAATAAATGTTCTTCTTGATCCATGAGTTTTATATAAATCAATTAACAAATTTGGCTCTATAAATACATAACCTGTTGAGATTGCATATGTACCTGACAGCATATCATACCCTAACCGCAAAAAATACATGCATAGATCAATACTACGATCAAGCTTAAAATATGTATAAATTGTCGCCTACTTTTGAGGTGTTTCTGCTTAGAAAATGGGACATTAGGACGTGATAGATGCTGTGAAAATAGATGTTTCAGTGCTTGTCGGAAAGACCTGTGATTCCTGTTCAATTATCAGTTTTCAGATTCGAAACCCATTCCTCAGTGCCGAGGTGCTTCCATTTCCCGGCAGCGACTCCAAAATATGTCTCTTAAATTGGAAATCTACGTTACTCTAAGCTTATTGGTCGCCTAAATCACGAGTTCGTCTTCGTATATAAGCCAGCAGCTTTACTTTCTAGTACTAATACTTCGAAGTAGTACAGTTTACTACTATTAATAGTATTAAATTTATATTTATACTGCGATTTTTACCGATCCAGACAGACCCCTACAATACAGTAGTACGCATAGCTGTCGGTAATACAGTCTAAGTACTACTAGGGGGCGACGGATTGTAAGGGACACTTGCTACTTCGAATTTGCCAATTCATCGGAAATGATTGGTTAAATAACTTCGAACTTCGATGGAAAACTCAATTTTTAGCCAATTACGTAATGACTTTCACAAATTCAAATCTTATTGGCTATAATATTCTGTGCTTCTATAAAACTTCTGCCTTCGTATCGTGCCAATTGCAATTATCTATGGTTGCTGGACTTGTATAGGTAATGGATGGCACTTCGTTAAGGCACCGACCGCCGAGTCGTAACGTTAGCCGTGCAGTCGTCGGACAACTGGCTGAGTGTCATTGACGCGTTTGCTCGTTCGAACTCGGGTGTTGGGCCTAGATATCGATATAACACAGTTATAATAAGTACTGGTTTTTACTGGTTTTTGCGACTGTTGAATTCTAGTATGTTATTATGGTTATGACGCCCGATTTGATTGAAAATTGCCATCACCGTAAAATATCCCACCTGATCCAACCATCAACTTTTCATTCACTGGCCGTGCCTCGGATACATACTGTAAGCCGTCGTCGGACAAGGCACGTCTGTCGCAAGATTATTGGCCCCTAACCACTACTGTAGTACTGTACTGTACTCCTGCCGCACATCTTGTAATCCACCCCAGTTGTGAATTTAATACTTAGTAAGTTATGAGTCGTTCGTTGTTGCTGTTGGTCCTCGCCGGCGTTGCGTCCGTCGGCACCGCGTGGACGTGCAGCCCCACCAAGATCATCGACTGGAGGGCCTCGTGCGACAAACTCGGAAGCGACGACGAAAAGTGCAAAAACGGACCCTGCCACCGCGCTTTGCACTACCTCGTGGAGGACATTGTCCGCGATTGTTATGTGCAATCTGGCATGGGCGACGCCAGCGATCTCGACGTGTACCGCATTCTGGATGACTACTGCCACGGTGAAACCCCCGCGCCCAAGCCCGTCCCTACCACCTCCACGTCAACGCCTACCACATCAGCCCCTTCGCCGCCTACCCCCACAACCTCCACCCCGACCCCTACAACCTCAGCTCCTACCCCTACAACCAAAGCCCCTACCCCTACAACCAAAGCTCCTACCCCTACAACCTCAGCTCCAACCCCAACAACCAAAGCCCCTACCCCTACAACCTCAGCTCCTACCCCAACAATCTCAGTTCCTACCCCTACAACCAAAGTCCCCACCCCCACAACCAAAGCCCCCACCCCCACAACCAAAGCCCCCACCCCCACAACCAAACCCCCCACCCCTACAACCAAACCCCCCACCCCCACAACCATAGCCCCTACCCCTATAACTTCAGCTCCTACCCCTATAACCTCAGCTCCTACCCCTACAACCTCCGTCCCCGCAACCAAAACCCCCACCCATTCTTCTCCACCAGCTGTACGACCTACAACCAGCCCTGCCTCCGCACCCCTCACGCAGCCGACAAACGGACCTCCCGTCGCATTGCCAATCGCCCCCACAACCTCTTCCTCCCTCTCTTCATTCCCCACGTCCTCGGCACCGTCCAATGTCGCTCCTTCCAGTACGACATCCTCGGCTTCAACCCGCTTGCCTGAGAAATCCGCTTCAACCACCCCCACCACAACCGGTGTACGTGTCGCTAGCCCCACTTCTGTGCCAGTGAAGACCACGTCCAACATCACCAACACGACCAAAACAACCAACGTGACCAAAACAACCAACGCTACCAATGCGACCCTGGGGGTGGAGTTCATCACGGTACCGACCACTCAAGCGTCAAAGACATCTCTGCCGAGGACCCTTCAGGCGACGACGAAACCGGCGGCCACTAGCTCAGCTGCCCAGGTTGGCGCTCTTCCTCTCGTGATGGCGTTCACTGCCCTGGCGTTGCCATGATAATTCTACCGCCGTTCCTGCCATATTCGTACTTTAGTTTGACAGCTAAGACACGAAATACACCAATTTCGACCTTAGTGTTAGTCGTGTGAAACGCATTTTCCGATAACCCAATGAATGGGGTGTTGCAGCTTTCAGGTTTTACAGCACTTCAAAGTACTTACAAGTTTGACGGGATTTGTCAATCGCAGGGTAGACTTTACTGTTAATGAGGCTATTTGGAATCAATGATCAAGCCTTAATAAACAGTAAACGTCGGTCAGTATCGACATCAACATAACGAGCCTTCTAGAAAACTGCGACTTGCGTTACGTATGGTTTCACGTCCGATCAGAGTGAATTTTCTGATACTAAATTGCTAATGTACTCGGCCCCGTTACAAGAACGAAAATATAATTTGCATGGGGACCATCGCCAAACTGCTGATGCTTGTAGGCTCTGTATGCTACAAATAATGACACCTCCGCAGCTCCATGCACGTCCTCATCTACGTGACGCCGCCCAAGACACGGAAATTGTACATGTAAACTCGCCTTGTTACGATAGAGCAAAATGAAACTACACTTGACTCTAGTCGGTGGTCCCGTTCACAGGTGCGCCGAACGCGGCCAACTCCAGCCTCAAAGCATGGACATCTGAGGCGTGGCAGAATTCGTCCAACGTAATGTACTTGTTGAGGTCGGAGACTGGGCCCAAGCCCAGCGACACGTAGCAGTCGCGGGTCTCAGGGTCCGTCAGCCAGTGCAACGCGCGGTGGCAGGTGCGGCTGTCGCAACGATTGCGTCCATGCGCGGATTTGAGTTGTGCTGCAAGCGGCAAGGGCGGACGACGTGGCGACCGCGGTGACGAGGAGGGCGAAGATGGCTTTCATGGCGTCGGGTGGGTTTGAGCTAATTGTGTGTCGGCTCCAAGAAGGGGCGACTGTGGCGACTCTAGCGGGGCAACCCTTGCACCCACTCAACTCCCGTTTGATGGTCCAATATGGATGATACATGAGCCTTGACCACGACACCCCGATTTCGTTCGCTGCCGTCGGTTACTTGATGGATATGCATTCCAGTACTTTAGGTGCTGGATTCGGAGGTCGGTGGTGTTGATCTTCGCCGCATAGTTACGAAGGTGTACATCGACCTTACGCCGGCCGACACAGTACATCACAATTCCGCTAAGAATAATCTTTTGTGGGAAATGTGTCCCCACTAGAGGGGTGACTCTGGGAAGTATGTGCCCAGTGTCAAAGGATATCATAATATGGATGGGATTCGAGTCTTGGGACACTGCCATCATATTTAACTAAGTTTACTTAACGTTAAGCTTACATGATGGATTACGATGGACATTGCAGCCTATCAGGGTGAGTGCAAGGCACGTGCAACTGTTGAAAATGGCAATAACTCGGCTTGATCGGACAAGCTGCCTCGAACTTTAACATGTACATTGACTTGGCCAGGTCCTGCCACGGCGAAGGACCGCCCCAATAAAACCCCATAAGTCGGCGCTATCACCCCGTGCCCCAACTGTTCCCCTGCCCAGCTATCTCCACCTACCACAGCTCTAGCCACGTCATCCCCACTTTCGCCAGCTAAACGACCCACACTAACCCCCTTCCACAAATATGTACCTCAAGCATGCACTCAGCTATGTTATGCCTCGAAGTATCGCCAAACGCACGGAGGTTGTGCGTGTAAACTTGTTTGGTCACAACATGGAATTGTGGATCACAACCCCACTAAAGGGGCGTCTTTCGGGGACTCTGGCGGTGCAACTTGCGGTTACCCGGGAAAGCATGCGCTGGTTTCAGAAACCTCGTACTACTGCGCCAATGGGGTGCGCAACCCGCGTCCGACTTGCACCTTCGGCAGCACTGCCCAGCTTGGGTGACACCAGTGTTGTGCAGGTCATCTGACATTCCCCATCATCCAAACTTCCCTCAAAAATGGAGTTGGCGTTGCAGGGTAGTACTGTCCCAAATTATGTGAGGTGTCGCGAGTGCGTTCTGCCCCATTGGCTCGACTGCTCCATTGCCGGCCAATGCTAGCTACTGCATCGTTGGCGCAACCAATAATACACGGCACGTCCCTTACAGCTCACTGGGAATGATGTGCCTGGTATTAACGTTTCATGTAAGTAGCGTGGGGCAAGCTGTGCAACGTGGGTAAGTTTGCTGCGGTGAAATTGCGTACGACTACCCCACGGCGACGTCCGAGTTACATTTACCGTCGGAGTATGGCTTATCCTGTGTAATTGCGTCAGGATTGACCGGAGGCAATGCACTGGGTGGTGAACGAACAGCGATATTCTATGGACCTCGACGAAGCGTGTCAGCGACTGCCATCAGGTAATACAACGTGTCATTTGCCCAGCACCTAAAGGAACATGCACACGTAGATGTGCCGCAAGATTCTATTCCATGCGAGGCCAAGCCCAGTGACAGTGTTGCCCTTTTGGCAAAGAGAGGGTGTCCATTACTTTCAACAGAACCTGTTGAACTCTATACAAACATACAATGATTTACACAATGTATTCATTGTTACCACACCGGACTTAATGTATATCACACTTATTGTATACACCTCAAATCGCACTTACGAAGGTATGTTCATGCTCACAATTGCAGTCAGGCTACTAGCTAGTAAAACGACGATTTCAGAAGAAAATCATACCTTCTCGGCCTTTTGGCTAAGATCAAGTGTAGTATCTGTTCTAATCAGTGTGAAAACTGATTACCATATTTAATATGGTTTTTTTTTCACATTCATTTTTATAGATTCCTGGGGTTCAGGCGGCTTGCCACTGACCTCGGGACAGGTTTCCGAGGGCCCAGCACTCCTCCCTTGTGAAGCCTAACACTTCATACTTCACTCAAAATAAATCATATCCATCACTGTTTTACTATACCACTACCACCTTCCTCCAACTACTTTATACACTCACGTCAATGAATTATTGTTTCACAAGAGCATTGGACAAGCTCAGAAAAGTTCCACATGATTTTGAGTTTGTTTGTACTTCTGAAGTAGGATTTAAACAACAATCAAGAAACACCTTCTCGGCCTTTTGTTTCGGGGTTTCGGGGTGAGGGGAGGTGCCGGGAGAACACAAAAACAAACGGAGGTGTGGGTCCGAAGGGGTGAATTAAAAATTAAGCAACTACAGGAGCGAAGCGACTCCGCGCG